TGATTTGGTTTCTTCCTCTTCCCTGTCTGTCAGGGCTTGTCTCGGTACGTTACGTAGCTTGGGCGATACATATGGCTTGAGCTCTTCCTGACCACCCTGGTCCTTCCCCACAGCTCACATATGCAAACTTGAAGGTGAGTGCAAAATTCCAGTTAACAATATATTTTTTTTGGCCTGCAAAGATAGTGGTGTGGGTAGGAGAGGTGTTCTTCAAGGGGAGGTTTTGCATGTAACAGCATTTTGGGTCTGCTCTCCCCTGCAGCACACTTTGGACACGACACCGTGCCAATAGACTCAAGGGACTTACATGCTACAAGAGAAACAGGATCATTTGGCCAGGCAAACCAGTGTCCTCGTCGTTGCAAGCAATAATGTAAGCAAGAGAAAAAAGCTGGGCTTGGGGTATTGCTGAAGCAGTAGGCAAATGTGAAGCTGCGATGCTGGAGGTCTGGGTGAGTCTGCTCCTGAACCTGCTCAAACTCTGGCCCCACGGCAGCCGTTGTCCTCCCAGCTTGGGCTCTGGCTGGTCTCTCCCCCTTTCTCCCAACGCTGAGCTGACAACAGGGCTCACCCCCAACCACTGCCAGGTCTGGCTGCTGCGGTGTGGTAACCCCAGGTCTCTTGGCTGTAACTGTATTTTGGGTTATCTAGAAATACAGGACTCAACTGTCTTACCTGCAAAATGCCACTGGGTTTTTGGAGAGAGCATTTTGCCTTTCAGAGGCAAAGCGCCTGGTTCCTTCTCCCTGGGGACACATGCTACCTCCACGTCAAGGGAAAACCAGGGCAGGAACTTGCTTATCTCCTGGGGCTCAGCCCATGTGGCCAGGCCCCCTCCCCTCAAAAACCCACCCCTGCTCTACTTCCACGTGCTCTGAAACGCTCCTTACAGTGCTCACAACGTATTTATGATGAGATGTCTGTCTGGAGAATTCGGCTTTCTTCAGGTTTGGGTTGGAGCTGAGCAAAGTTCAGGAACAGAAAGCATTTTAAAACCATGTTTCGCAGAAGCCTTGATCCAAGCTCCACTTCGAGCAAGCCCTGCCAGCACTTGCAGGGCGGCACTGTGTCAGCGTGGAACCTCCAGCTACTCATTAATCATTTCCCACAGTTCAGATGGAGGACACAAAGCAAGGGGGAGGCAGGACACTTCCAGAACAAACCTATTTTTTGGTTACACACAAATGTCTTGGTGTCTGCTCTGCTGACAAGCTGGAGCCCCACCCCAGCGATTTGTGCTCAGCCTTTGGGAAAAGAGTGAGACCATTCTGAGGAAAATGATTTAAAATGCCTTCAGATGCCTTTTCACTTCTTTTTATTTAATTCCATAAATATTTTCATAAGGCTCAGTGTCTTTACAACACTTTTTTTTTTTAAACACTTTTTTTTGTTTTATACACACAACTTTGACACTTGTTTGACAGGGTCAAACAGTCCAATATAAACAAAATAATAAAACTGGCAAGTGCGGATCAGCTGGGTTACCAAAATCCTTTTTTTTTTTTTTTTTTTGTCTTTTTTTTTTTTTCTCTTACTGTTAAAACCCCAAAAGCACTAAAATATCAGTATTTGGCTTCAAACTAGAATTTTAAAAACCCTTTTTTTTTTTTATTTTTAAATTCTCTGCTACAAGTCCCTGTCGTCATAGTGCCTTTAAACTCCTACAGACTCTTCTTTTCTTCTTAAGGAAAAATAAGCTTGGTGATGCCATGCAGAACTTACAATAGCTACTAAATATACATGTTCCCTGAAATGTAGCTGCAATGAAAAGATGACAGAGCATAAAGAGAACAAAACCAGAAACCCAAAGCACCACAGTGTACTATCAATAACATTGCAGTGGACAGCCAGTGACCATCCAGAAACTGAAACAGATTTCAAATATATTTCTCTATGTATTATTTTCTATATACAACTGTTAGATGCACCTAGGTTGGTTCATGTTTGATCTTTTTGGAGAGGGTGGGGAGGCGAAAGTCTTGAATTTAGCTCCTCTGTTCTAGTGTCTAGGTCAAGGGGTAATGCATGTCATTTACCTAGGGAAGAGGGTATTTTTTTTTTTTTTATATATATATATATATAGATTCAGCCAGAGAAATACCGTAAACATGTTAAGTTTGTTACAACTCTCTTGGTTCTGCATACGGAATGGTTAAGTGGGTTCCTCCTGTCTGGCATTGAAATGAAAGTCTGTATCAGATTTTCAGTCAAAATCACCCCAAATCTGATTTCATCTGCGCTGCTTCCCAGCGCTCTCAGACGCACGAGGCAGCCCAACCCCGCACCTATTGGGAAAGCCACAGTGGGGGGGAGCAGTGGGACCCAGTGCTGGTTCTTCTTTGTGAGAATGCTCCATCTCTTGCAGCACCTTGGCAATTTATGGAGGGGGAAGAGCTTTCTTGAATGCCATGCCTGAGAGCCAAGCCCCTCTTCCCTCGGGAACAAACGCCTGCATCTGCTCTGCCTGCCGCCTGGCTGCGGCGAGCACTAGCAACGCTAGCTTGGGTTGGCTTTCCATTTAAGAAAGAAGCTGAGAGTCCAACAAGTGGCCTTGTCAGATCAAGCGAGTCTTGATTTATGATGCAAATAATGGTGTGGCGGTGGTGTTTCTTTTTTTTCCTAGTGCTGAATATTTAGGAAGCATCTTCTCATAAAAATTATGGATGTCTCATTCTCACTCTCTGAGGCACAAAACAGTAAATGAACAGGCTTAACTAATGTGCTTGTTACTTTTTTTCCCTAAGCAATTAACAAGGCAAAGGAATAAGTGAAATTTTCATCATGTTGACAACAGTTTGTAATCTCTCTCTCTTTCTCTCTCTCTCTCTCTCTGCATCTCTCCAGCCATTCAGAAACAGTAAAACATTCCAGTTAAACTTCTGAGACCCATCTCATTCACTTCTTTAAATACCCATTCTGTTCAAGCAACAAAATAATATTTGCTACATATTCCATATTCAGATCTGACCATAAAAACGCAAAGATACAAAAGAGCATAAAAATCAGTTCTGACATAAAATTGGGTTGCCTCCTGTTTGGGATTCCTCGTGTTTCACTGCTGCCTGTCACAGAGGGGCCACTCCTCCTCTCCAAACCCTAAGCTGGCCTTGCTGTTTATTGATAGTTTCTAGATTACTAAAAAGTGCTGAGATTATTTTTGGACTTAAATAAAAAATATAGCCACTGCCTTGTAATATGCCCTGAAATAAAACGGGCTCCATGGAAGTACTGAAAAAAACCACTCTCTGCTCTTCCCATTCACTTGTATTTCTTAGGGGAGGAAAAAGAAAATGTTATCAGCCTGCTAATTGGCCTGGGGTGTATCAGATTCAAAAGAAAATTATGAATACCATGATCAATCACTTCATCCCACATTTTCAAAGGAGCTTGCAGAAGAGCTCTGCAAAGTTTTTGAGTTCGTCTTCTAAATCTGGTTAAACAGTCTCATTTGCCCTAGGAAGAAAAATCATCCTAGTGCACAAGGATTTGTTTTACAAGCTTACACATAAGCTTTTGCGCTTGCAACCGAACGTATTAAAGGCTGAAACTGTAGGAATGTCTTTGAAAACAGAGCTATGGCTCTCCAGAGGGAGAAAAAGAGAGAGAATGAGACTTGGAGAGTTGAGCTT